CAGTGATGGGGGTTGAATTGGGGTTGAATTGCAGCCCCCCCCCCCTCACATACAGGAACACATACACACAGGTTGCGTGGAACTCACGGCGCTGTGGGCGGGTTCAGGTGCAAAGGTCCTGTTTCACTCTGGTTCCTCTCAGTCTGTCTGTCGCCGAGTCTGGATCCACCCATCTCATTTCTGCCTGTAGGATCTTTTCACACACACACACACACACACACACACACAGGTATGATGTCAGATGCCTGTCTATAGTATATTTTCCAATTCTTCTAATGAATCATCCTGCGTAGAGTTGGCGTTTTTTTTTTTTGTTTTTTCTTCTCCTCACTTGACAGCTCTGCTTTTGACAAACATGTTCTTCCAGTACGCCAACAAACTGATATGAGAACTCAAACAGTAATAAAGGTTGAGTCAACAATGCCATCAACAGAGCTGAGAGCGAAAACGCAGAAACAAACAGTGTGTTCCTTCAACGCTCACCGCAGCTAACAGGCTTTCACCGTAGCTGCGGAAGGGAGAAAGGGAGTGGAGCGTGAGGAGGAGGAGAAGTGGATCTTCAGATAAAGCTCTTGTCTCGTTGCCCACTTACAGGCCCCACAGTCATATCGTGCTTTGTAAAGGGTTGGAGACGAATCATTCAGGCTCCTAACTTGGCTTCTCCTCCTGACGGAACGCTTGTCAAAGGGAAAAAAAAATATGAAGATGAAGGAGAAGGAGAAGAAGAGAAAAGAGTCCTTCCCTCGCACTTGTTCGCGACTCGGCTCCTCACAATACCATATCTGTCCACATCGACACACTTGTCAGCCAGACTGCTACCAGCGATTAGCGACGCTGTTATAAAAATGGATTTTTAAAAAAAAAAAAAAAAAAAAAGAACCGCGGGTTCTCCATTGTGTTTCTGAGCTTCCACGCTCGAAAAGCAACAGCAGAACGTTGCTTTATGTGACTTCACAATGGTCCGTCCAATCAAAGACATTCGCTGTTTGGACGTGAAACCATGTGGTTGAAAATGTTAGCATCGTTAGCAGGACATGTTTTCTTTGGTTCTTGTGCTGCGTTCACACCAAACGCGTTAGGCGCGAACTCTGCAAACACAATCGGTGTTAACGGTGGAGCGAGATCGCAGATTAATACCTGGCGGTGCAACGTTTTAGACGGCAGTGCGCCACGACATCCAATCAGCGACGACTTCATCTTAACATCACTTCCCTGACGTGTGCGAACAACGGAGGAAAAGTTTGTCATCGCCGCGTGGGCAACGACACTGCTCAGAATAAAAAAGAATAGGCAAGGAAAGTTAGCCAGGAGGTGGCGCTCTGTGAGAAAAACTGGTGTTTCGTTCTACTACGTTACCGACTGTTTTTCCAGTTAGTGTTTTTGCAATAACTGCCGCCAGTGGTAATAAAGAAAATAACCTCAAACATTCTGAATATGCAAAAAAAAAACAAAAAAACACACAAAGTACACAATAAACAAATGACGTGTAAAGAGTCCAACGTCCAGAAGATTTAGCTCAGTTCAACTGTCACCTTTACGTAAACAACAATCTTTGTCCGTTAGATAAGATCCGATCTGATCCGTAACGTAAATATAAAGTTTCCTTTAAGAAAAAATCCCTCGAGTCCGTTAACACCAGTGCTATAGCACCACACAGTGGTCACCGTAAATGTCCTTGTTTGTACGTAGCAATGCTGTCATTGTCAGAGCCCGACCCGGGTCACAAATGCTAACTCGACAACAGTCAGTTCTGCCTCCAGCTCTTCGCAACATTAACACACGATTATTTGTCAACTACGTCGTAAACCACATTGTTATTTCTGGGGCTGGAGGCCAATCCTGTTTGTCTAAGTTTAGCATACGTGACAGTTACAATGTAATGGTGGTACAGAATCTGAGAAGTCTGAAGAAGCTAAGTATCAACCGTTACTTCGTTAGCGGGATTAGCCAAATAGAATTAATGAGCGGTAATGAAAGTAATAAACAAGCTTGAACGCGGTGAAAGTCGCAAAGTTTTTTCGTTTTTTTTTACTTCAGGCAGGGCTGTGACGGGCAGGAATCTGGTGATACAATACTGCGATATGTTGAGATACTAGAGACACGTCATAGTCTCAGACTCTGTTCCATCTGAACATCAGTTCCTAACACTGGAACAGAGGGATCTACGTTTGGAATCACTAGAGAAGAAAGAAAAGAAAAAGAACGTGAACCAACACCAGGAATATTGGACTGGGAATTGATGAGAAAAAAATCAATAACTGATCAATGACTGAGGAGGAGATTGATACGGGATCAGGAGAGGAGAGATGTGTCAATGTGTCTATATTTGCGAGACAAGTTAAAGGCGACTCTTCACTCGACCCTGGATCTGCACCAGTGTTGATTTATGGGGCAAATAAAATTCCAAAAATAACATTCCAATAATAATTACCATTATTTCCACTATAAATAAAACCTTTTTAAAGTCTAAACAACAAACTATGAGAGAGACTATCAGAACCATGTCAAACTGACTGAAGATCAGTTTAAATTTCATTATGGGATGGATCCGTACGTGTGCGAATCTCTCTCTCTCTCTCTCTCCCCCTCTCTCTCCACCACTGTTGTCCAAGGATAGCGCTGGCTTCAGGTGCTGCAGGTAAATCATCGAGGACATAATTAAGAGGCTTATGAGTGGGAGCGTGCGCGGAACGTTCCGCATTAGAGAAATAAAATCGCACGTAAAACAGAGCCTCCGAGTGAAACGCGTTCTCGTTCTGGAGCGTCTGACGGCGGCTGGAGGGGTTTGACCTTATACCGAGGAGTTAAATACTCCAGCCCCGGCCTGGTGTGATGGTGCGTGAATTAACACACACACACACACAGCCCTGTGGAGTTTTTTAAGCAGCGATGAAGGACTCATCAGACATGTTCATCAAGTTCCCTTCATGATTTTTAGCATTTTTTTTCGCCCCTCGGCCTTAAAAGGTTCTGAGAGTTGATTTGTGTAGTTGTGTTTTTCTCCCTCTCTCCCTTTGTGTGTGTGTGTGTGTGTATAATGAGGAACTTGGCTTTATCCCCTCTGGTATGTGCCGTGGGGAATGTTTGTCAAAGGGCAGCAGCACAGTCTGCTTTAACAACAAAACAAAAAAAAAAAAAAAGACTTTGGCCTTTGTTGGTTTTTCCTTCACTCCTGTATCTCCAGGAACCAGCGAAGTCCGAACGCACGATGTTCACTTCGCTCCAAATTTCCTTCATTTACGTCTTAAAAACAAAATCACCTGCGTTGGTTTTGCACTGCCTGTATTTTTATTTTATTTTTTTGACATCTGATTCCGTCTGTAAAACGATTGCGTAACGTTTTCTATCAAATAGGATCTGCTGTGATTCCCTTTGTTGCCATTAGAGCAGGGTGAGGCCTGGTTTTAGGTGTCGGTGAAATTGTGTCAGCGTTGGTGGAGTTGCGGAGGTTATCTGAACGTCCGCCTCCCGATTCCAACATAAAGAAGAAGAAATGGAGAAATGTTTCACATTTTGCGAGCCTTTGGTCGGACGTCGTGATTACGTTCTTACCTTCTCCCGCGGCGACGGCCCGGGCCTGGATTTCATTAGCTTTCCTCTTGGCCACGTCGGCCAGCACCAGCTCGCCCTTATCACCGGCAGCATAATGGAGGTCCTTTCAAGGTAATGCAAGAAAGAAAGAAATGTGAACGTTAATCTAAAATGAATCTAAGCTCCGGTGACAATAGGTGTTTTTCCCTTCTTTTTTTTTTTTTTTTTGGTGGATGAAGAGAGAGGAAAAAAAACAGATGAAATGACACGGAGGAGAGAAAAAGGGAGTTTTCGTTTGAAGGCCAACATCAGAAGAAGCACTGGTTTAGATGAAATCCTCAAAAAAACTTTGAAATGAGCCTGTCTGACACACACACACACACACACACACAGCTGCCTCTCTCTGGTTTTGAACTGGGGAGGATTTTATCTTCCGTATTTCAAAAGTGGCAGAGGAGGCGCCGGACTGTTCACCTTTCAGAAATGCTGCTGTTCTCTCTCTCCACAGAAACACATCCAGCCGAGCACATTACTACATCAGCCTGAGACGGTATTGGAAACAGCGTGTTTCCTCTGTGTCTCTCTCTGTTTGACTCGAGCAAAGCCGTAAAGATGGTAAATGATGTCTGAGTGTCGTCTGATTCCGAGCGGTCGACGGCGACGACCGTGAATGGTTGACAAAAGCGTTCAGGTGCGGTCATAATCATCCAGACACCGAGGAAAGTCTGGGCTCATTCTCACATTTGAAAATCTGGAAAAAAATTGAGAATAAAATCTAAACGCACCGTCGAACGATTCGGCTCCGATGTGATTAAAACGTTACGAGAATGTAATGAATAAAAGGGTCAAAGACGGCGATTTTTTTTTCTCTCTCTTCCTACAGATTAAAGTAGACGTAGTCGTTTATCTAAGGAATTTAATTTATCAGGAAAATTCAAGTCAAGAGGAGTCGAATCAAATGAGTTGTTTTATTTTATCTTAGTTTCATAAAACGTCTTCACAGTTCAGACATGAAACCCCACGAGAGACTTCTCTGATAAAATCATAAATAGACAAAAACAGTCAATATTACAGTTTATTCATATTATATTATGGATGAGTTGGTGAGATTCTGAGCTGAGAGAGAAAAAAAACGTGTTGTTGAGGTTCAACTTTTAACATTTACGAGATTTAAATATATTTTGGTCAGAATAATCTGGACGCAGCATCGTTTTTAAAAAACCGAAGGGTTGGAAATTTTATTTCAATATCCCGTCCAATAACAAAGGCCTCCGTGTGGACGCGGCTCTGACTGGAGGCCACGACGAGAGCACCAAATATATATATATCTAAAAGAGACGCCAATTTAAAATATATGTTCCAACACACTGACTAAATGATCAAACGTTCAACCTCTTAACCTGATTGAGAGCGAATCAAACCCTCATCCTGGCACCCAACGAGGGGCTACTGAGGGTCACGGGCCTGAGGGCCCATCAAAGGCGGCGGCGTGTTAAGGAAAGTCTTCCGCCTCAGCGACATCACAGGACATCAGTGCCGTAACTCGGGGCCTGCCACGGATAACCCTCAGCTGGCTAAAGCCAGCCCCCCAGCTGGGCCTGCACCCGGCCTTAATACCTCCATATTGTCGCCCAGCTTTTGTGCCCCCACGGGGAGAAAAAAAAAGGAGGAGGAGGAGGAGGAAGGTGCAGGTTTCCAGGAGAGGTGGGGAGCAGAGGGGGAATGAAGGAAACAGAGGGGGGAGTAAAACAGAGAGAGGCAGAGAGGCAGAGAGGGAGGAGGTGAAATTGAGGAGTGTGAATGGGAACAGATTGGGTAATTACAGTGTGGTTACTGCCCTCTGTGGTGAGGAGGAGGAGTGAAAATGGCGACAACAACACGGCCCCAGAACAAGTTAAACAGGCGAGTCAGGGACCGCCAACGAGGACACGGGCCTTCATTTGGACACACGTCAGGCCTTGTAGTGGATGACAGAGCAGATCCAGGAATGAGTAGTGTGTTAAAACTAAGGTCCGGACACAAGATGGGCCGCTGTCCTGAGGTTGAAACCTGGGGTCGAGATGGTATTTTTAACGATATGTGTGTGGAGTGTGTGTCAGAGCATTGAATGATGGGAAATAAAATGACTTTTTTTAGGGCAATCATTTTGACATTTTGACCTGCTGTAACAGAAACCCACCACAAGGTGTGAGTTTAGTTTGGTGGTCGTGATCTTGCTTGCTAACAGCAAACATGTCAAGTGACTAATTAGCATTTCAGTCAATATATATACTGTATAAACATATATTTGTGTCGTGCTTCTGTTCAGACCGTGGTCCAATAAAAACCAGATCTGGACCTAATTGTTCATGTAAACGTACGGGACGAGGGACATAGACACAGAGAGAGAGAGAGAGAGATTATCTCTAAAAGACGGAGCGGGACAATAAGAACATCGGATGACGGACGCGTTATTGAAGCTGAGCTCCTCATAATACTGTGAATCAGGGCAGAGGGAGAGAGAGAGAGAGAGAGAGAGGGAAATAAACGAGCGGACAACATGAGGGGAGAGAGAGAGAGAGAGAGAGCGCAGTATCAGGCCGACTAAGAAGGGATAACAATAATACCGCGTATAAAACCATCAGATATTACACCTCTTATTCCCCGACGCTCAAATGCGACACTAATCTTATTTATATAAGAGCTTTAGGGGTTGCAGCGTGCCAGCTAACCACACCGATAAAGAGAGCCCTGTTAGAGGGCCAGTTTTGGGGAGTGGAGAGAGAGAGAGAATAACGAGGGGGGGTGGGGTGGGGGGGGTGAGGGATGCTACGAGACCCAATATTGACTGATACTTGGTTTACCTCCAAATAAATGAGGATTAGGTTAAACCGGCTCTCGTCCGTGTGTCGGCAGGGTGGGGTGATCGATGGGAGATTTGTTTTTGTTTTTTTTTTTTTGGGGTTGAATTTTTACATTTTTTTAATTTTATAGAATAGAGGTTTTTGGGGTTGAATTTTTACATTTTTTAAATTTTATAGAATAGAGGTAGAGATTGTAAATCAATCTAAACACCTTTGATGAGACGGGGGAGTTGGAGACAAAATGTTGATTTGAAACTGAAACACGTCTGCAGATAAAACGACACAAAAATAAAATTCACCAAGAGCTGAAAAAACATTTGGACCATTCACCCCCGACCCTGTCTGCTTCTCTGGGGCTGATTGGTTCACCTGTGTCCTGTGGTTACCGTGTCACCTGGTGTCACCTGGTGTCACCTGGTACCTCATGGTTCTGTCGTTCTGTCGTTTTTGTTTCTAGTGATTGTTGTTCTAGAAACTTCCTGTCTCCTCTGTGCTGCATTCAGGTGCTGTCTGATTCCCCAATACACGTCATGTGACAGTGACAGTACATGTAGTTGTTGAGTACTGTAGTAGTACTACTACAGGTTTATAAAGCTGTTAGCATGTAAGCTAACAATCGTGTGTGTGTGTGACGTGTTTGGTCCGTTTTCTTCTGTCCAACTTCTAATTCTGGACTAAAGTTTCACAGTTGAACCTGGTCCACAGGCTGACGGGCTGCATGTGGCCCAGGAGCCACAGGTTGAAGAGCCCTGATCTGGGTTAAAACAACTGGACTTAATCCCAGAAATGAGCAGCGGTTCCTCCTCCTCCTTTGTGATGAAAGATACTGAAGCGAAAAAAAAAAAAAAACGCTCTTCAGGACAGAACGAGCTCCAACGGGTGAACGAGGGAGTTCAGATTTACTGATGACACTGTTTGATTTAATTAACGAGCTTCGTCAAGAGCCGGAGCCGCGGAGAAGAGGGAGAGAGAGAGGGAGAGAGAGCGAGAGAGAGAGACTTGTCATCTGGACTGACGAATGACCCTAATTGGTTACATTATCAACTCATTATCAAAGGCTAATTAGCGAGCTACAGAACAGGGCCAATTATGACAGAACAAAAAATGCAAACGACTCAGAAGCGCCCCCCCCCGACTACCCCTCACCCCACATCACCCTCTTCTAGGAAAAAA